AACCAAACCAATCCAAACCAAACCAAACCCAACCCAACCAAACCAAACCAAACCAAACCCTCCTGCTCCTTCTCCCAGCTGCGTTTCCTTGCACCAACCCCAAAAAATGGCCTGGTTCATGTTCATGCTCTGCCAATATCTGTTGGGAGCAACCCTGCCTTGTTTATTATCTATTCCTCACCTGGGCTCACTCCTGCTTCCAGCTCTCATGCTATTTATGTCATTTAATAGTGCTTAAAACTGTTTCCAGCCCAATTTAATTCACCTTTGTTGCGAGGTTTTGTGAGTTTTGGGCTTTGCCTTTGTCCCTTCAGCCTGGTCTCGAAAGGGGATTGTGATCCCCAAACTGGCTCGTTGCAAAATCTTGCTCCCGTGGTGCTTCCAGAAACTTCTTCCCAGCATTCCAACCATTGCTTTGCTAAAGACCAAAAGGAAATTGGATGTGTTGCCAGTGGCATAACCTGCTGGGGGCCTGCATGCTCAGCTCTCCTCTCATTCCCAAACTGCTGGTGGCTTTCCAGGCAGCTTAGCCCCTCTCCTGACCCTCCTTCCCCAGGCTCAGCCCCGGGGGTGTCGCTGACCCACATGGAGGGGCCGGAGCTCTCCCATGGAAAGATCTAAGGGAGAAAAAATGCGCCAGCACAAACCCTGAAACAGGATCTGGGCTGCCACGCTGCACACGAGGAGGGGGAAGGGGAAGGGCTGAAACATGGAGGAAAAATTAAACTCTATAATTTTAATAAAGATTTGTAGGGAACGGTATGTTTATTGACAGTGCTGTGGACGCATGTCGGGACTTATTGCCTTTTGATGGATATGTGTACCTTTGAAAACTTTCTGTCTTTTTTATTACCCTTACTGATTTTTATATGTATAGAATTTTACAATAGGTTAATGTATATTTATTTTGCTGATTTTACATTGCACTTATAGCTAGTTACAATTGTACTTAGTTTTTGTTAGAAAGTACAGAAAGAACTCTTGGGTTACTCTGCCTTGTCTGTTTTAAGGTCTGAGGAGTCTTTCTTATCTCATATTTTTTAGTGTGGAAATCTGCAGTCTTTCTCTGTTTTGTTAGGCCTGCAGTTGCCAGACTAAACAGCATATTTAGCAAGCTTAAAGTGGCACATTTTACTAAAATCTAAATGGATTTCTACCTTGTTAAATTTTCACTTTGTCTCAGGGCAAGGCCATGTGCTGGATCCAGGCTGAGCTGCAGGAGTCAGTGGATGTCTCCCCATCATCTCCGCGCTCAGGGACTCAGGGCACCCTTCCCCTCTCACTTCTGCCCCCATCTCGGCCCCATAAACTTTCATCCCACAGCTGCCTGGGCATTCACAGCCCTCTCACATCTTTTATTTTATTTCTCTGCCTTTTTTTTGGTTCCCATGTTTCTCCCAGATGGAATTGCAGGCAATGTCTGAGCAGCTCTTTCTAAATGCAGAATCCCTGAGGCTGGAAAAGCCCTCCCAGCCCAGGGAGTCCCAGCCGTGCCCATGCCCACCTTGTCCCCTGCCCAGAGCACTCAGTGCCACCTCCAGGGGACACCTGCAGGGATGGGCACTCCAAATCTCCCTGGGCAGCTATTTCCAAGGCCTGAGCACCCTTTCCATGGAGAAATTTTTTCCTGACATCCAACCTGAACCTCCCCTGGCACAGCTTGAGGCCTTTCCTTCTCAAATCAACAAACACAACCCACACAGGAAAAGAAAAGCTGATTTTTGATTTAATATTTGTCTGGCTCAGCCTACAAGGAACATCCAAGGCACCACTCACCTGATCCCACTGAATGTTCCTCAGCTGAGCTGTAAAGTGAGACATTTCCACCTGGCTGCTGATGTTCCTGGAGATAAACGTGTTGAGTTCCTGCTGCTTTCACCACTTGGCACGAGGAGGGGAAGGCTGTGCCCAGCAGTGAAAGCGTTACTGAGCACCAGGGGCAGCTGGAACTGCTGAGGGAGGCACATGGAAAACATGACGCCGAGCAAGCGGGGCTAATTAACACTGGCTGCTTAAATTAGAAAGCTTTTAATGGCTAATGTTTAAAAATAACACCTTAATGACATCTAAAAATAGCTGCTGCTGAGCCCCAGAGTGGTTTGACCTCCATTAGATCGGGGGGTCCATTTCCCAAGACTGGTGGTGTAGATCACATTTTCCTTTGAGGTGCTGTTCTCCCCGGGATCAGCTGCAAAGCCTCGTGCCTGACCTCGGGAGCCTCTTTGCAAATGCACCAGAGTGAGCTGGGTCACTCCTCGGGATGGTGGGCAAGGTGTGGATGTCCTGGCTGGGTGAGGAATTGGAGAGGATAATCTTGGGTGGTGCTCATCATGAGGGAGTGAAACAAGGAAACTCAAGGGTGACCTTGTCACTCCCCACAGCTCCTGAAAGGTGCCTGTGCCCAGCTGGGGCTGGGCTCTTTCTCCAGGCAGCACTGACAGAACCAGAGCTCACAGCCTCGAGCTGAGCCAAGGGAAATACAGGTTGGATATCAGGGAAAAGGTTTTACAGAAATGGTGATAAAGTTCTGGAGTGGCTGCCCGGGGAGGTGGTGGAGTCACCATCCCTGGGTGTGTTTAACAGAGCCTGGATGTGGCACTGGGTGCCAGGGCTGAGTTGAGGTGTTGGGGTGGGTTGGACTCGATGGTCTTGAAGGTCTCTTCCAACGTGGTCACTCTGTGATTCTGTGGATTCTGTGAGTGGGAAATTCCCAGGCCAGGCAAAAGCAGGGATGAGGAAGGTGGTGTTGAGATTAAGGACACAGGAGATCCAAGCTCCGTTTCCAGCTCTGTTGCTGATGTCTTGTGAGATGTCTTGAGGTCTCTCATGGTCCTGCTGTGACACAAAACCATGCCCATCTCTTTGATCCTGGATATTCCCAAGATAATTTTCCTGAGATGTGTCACAGGCTTGGATCCAGATGCACCTCACAGAAAACAAATAATAATATAAAAAGATAAAGGACTGCTTAGTTTTCCTTAATATGGGAATCAAACCCAAATAACCTGCAAGGCAAACACACATGAGGACTTCCCGTGGCTGGGACAGAAATAAAATATCTCCAGTAGTGCTGGAGGTAACAATTTGTTCCTTTGTGCTGTGCTTGTCCCTAACTCCTGGCCTGTCATATCTGTGATAGCTGGGAGGCATCTGCAGCTTTATTTCCCCTGGAATTGTGATTGCACATATAAAACCTTCTGTGATTTTCTTGGAATCTGCAAATGAGGTAAATTCCTTCAGCAGCCACATAAACTCAGGTGTTTTCATTTATGTGTGACATGAAGAGCACCTGAAAGGCCAGGAATTTGCAACAGGAGGAAAAACTTCCCGAAAACCAGGTGCACTAAAGAAAAGCTGCTCTTTGGTTTGCTCTTCCCTCCCAGGCAGCAAATCCAACATCCCGTTCCTGCCCATCCCATGGCACATTCCAAATAAGAGGAATGTGCAGAAGCAGAGTCCTCAGCCTGTGGTATTGTCCTGCCCAGGCCACAAAATCCTTGTGCTTTTCCATTTTCCCCTTTCTTTTCACAACATCCAAGGGGTTGTTTTGGGAAGAGACAAACCATGCTGCAAGATGGAGAGAGACAATTTCCAACGGATAGAGAGACAGGACACAGGGAATGGCTCCCACTGCCAGAGGACAGGGCTGGATGGGGGATTGGGAATTGGGAATTGTTCCCTGGCAGGGTGGGCAGGGCTGGGATGGAATTCCCAGATTCCCCTGGATCCCTGGCAGTGCCCAAGGCCAGGCTGGACACTGGGGCTGGAGCAGCCTGGGGCAGTGGGAGGTGTCCCTGCCATGGAACTGGCTGATCTTTAATGCCCCTTCCAACCCAAACCATTCCATCATTCCATGATTTTGCAACAAGAGAGACCAAGCCTAGTACTGATGTCACCCCAAGCACTCCAGACTTGTTAGAGCCAAGTCTGAGCTAATGGCAACGTGGAGCAGCTTTCACTTTGCTCCCTCTGCATCCTTCTGCTGTCCTGATGGCATTGATGAGTTGATCCAGGAGGTTTTCCTCCCTTTTCCTGCTCGGAAACACTTTCCAGCTCCAGCAAACACTTCCACTTTCTCCTCCAAGCAGGAGTTCAGCACGTGCACGGGGCTTGGCAGAGCTGGAGCCTAAACTTGTTCCTGTTTCTGAGTTCCAAGCTGGATCGTGACGCAAGGGTTATTTTATATATTAAAATATCGTGGTTTGCCCACACACATCATGCATGATGGATAACAGAGCTGGCAAGGCAGCCACTGGAAAAGGCCACTTAGTCTGGGATTTATACAGAAGGAAGAGTTGCCATTCCTTGTTTTCCAGCTTGGATTTAGGCATGACCAAACTGTGAAGGTGTTGTCCCTCAGAAGCTCCAGGATGTTCGCCTGATTCTACATTTCACCCACAACCTGAAATCACAACCTGAAACTCCCCAGTCCTAATGAAAATTATTCCCCTTTGAGTTACTTCATTGAAATGCAACCTCAAGAAATACTGGCCAGTCAGGAAAGCAACTTTAATCCAATATTTGTTATCCTCTTCCACAGGTTTTAAATCACTCTTTTTGCTTCCTACTTTGAGCGTTATTGTTTTCCTAGTCCTGCTATGACCTTCTGGGAATGTTTTCATCGTGTAAAGCAACCTGCAGTTCCCTACTTTATAAATCTCCTCCATTCCAAGTGTTAACACTACCTAATTCTCTGCTTTAGAGAGGAAATCATGTTTGTTTTTTTGAAGAGCCTGCTGGGAAGAGGAATATTTGCATTTCAAATATTTTTTTTTCCATTTCATAAATTGTCTTGAGTTCTCTTCCCAGCGGGCAGCACAAGGCTGTTTATATAAGAGAAGAGGGAAGCTTGCTTTCCCATTACTTCCACAAAAATATGATTAACAGCGATAACTATGCTAATTATTGCCCTGGCTGCACTTGAAATGCACCTCACTGGCTGGAGAGGCAATGCTTCGGGGTAATAATTAACTCCTTTTTCCCTCAATTACCTTTATTAGGAGAGCAGGAGGTGTCGGGGCGAAACGGCCGCATCTCTTCCAAGAAAAGCTGGCGTTATCCAAGGGAAGCCAAGCGGAGGCGCCTCGTTAAGAGAACCGCGCGGGACAAACATTCCCATGGCGAGCTGGGCCTTGGAGCTGCTGGGCTTCTCCCTCAGCCTGCTGGGCTTAATTGGGACGTTAATTGCCACCATCCTGCCGCACTGGTGGCGCTCGGCCCACGTGGGCGCCAACATCATCACGGCCGCGGCCTACGTGAAGGGGCTGTGGATGGAGTGCGTGTGGCACAGCACCGGCGTCTACCAGTGCCAAGCGTACCGCTCGCAGCTGGCGCTGCCCGCCGAGCTCCGCGCCGCCCGGGCCATGATGGTCATCTCCTGCCTGCTGGCCGTGCTGGCGGCCGGCGTGGCCGTGGTGGGCATGAGGTGCACGCACTGCGCCGAGGGCAGCGCCGCCAAGGCCTCCATCGCCGGCTCTGGTGGGATCGGCTTCGTGGCGGCCGGGCTGCTCTGCCTGGCGCCGGTGGCGTGGAGCACCAACGACGTCGTGGTGGATTTCTACAACCCCGCGCTGCCCGCTGGGATGAAGTATGAGATAGGGCAGGCTCTTTATCTGGGATTTGTCTCCTCGGCCTTGAGCATCCTGGGTGGGGCCTTGCTGTGCACGTCGTGCCTTGGGAGCGAGGCGCCTTTCCAGCCTCCATCCTCCAGGCCACCGAGTGCCTTCAAGGGCAACCACGCTCCTTCCCTGACATCTGCAGCCCACAGCGGCTACAGGCTGAGCGACTACGTGTGAGTTCTCCCGGGATCCGGCACCACTGCCTCGGGAATTCTGTGCCTGGCACCAGACACCTCAAATGGATGTCGGAATTTCACGTTGTTTATTCCTTCCTTTTCTTCCCGCAGGAGGAAAGGATGTGGATGCAGAACTGCTGCCTGTAAAACCTGGGAAATAAAGGCAAAGGAGGCTGAGATATTCCCAAGGCAGCACATCCCTGTCTACCTCCCATCAGGGCTTTGCAGGCACGTAGTTCAAGGGGTATTTTGTTTAAAATAATGGTTTGGTTTGGTGTCGGTGCCCTGTGAAGCAGAGCTGGCCACATCGCTTTGTTTCTTCCCAAAAAAAGACAGTTTTCCCTAAAATCTGGAATTTCTTGGGGATACACAGTGATTTCCAGCACTGGTTGCCTGCTAGGTTCCTCATTTCCATAATTCATGAACATTTCATCATGGCAAGGTATTAATTTTGCTTTCACTTAACTTTTGTTTTCAGTTTGTTTTTTTATAGTCCCTTGAAATGTGAATTTCCATGGCACTGTGACAGATGTATTTGACAGCCTGTTACAGCCAATATTTGAAGTTATATGACAATGTTTTGACCTGATCAAAATAAAATTTCAGTGCATTTTTTTAAATGCGTCACGAGGGAAACAAACCCTCTCGGTGGCTCAGAACTGGATTTTTTACAAATGTCAGGAATAGAATGGAACCAGACATTTGATATTAAATATACTTTAAAAATGAAAATTTAAAAACTCTCAGAATTTGTCACTTTTAGCTTTTGAGCAGATTTAGCATTCTGCACAATCTGTGCATTATAGGGAGTGGAAAAAGAGTTTCTAGAATCCTATTTCATAAATCCCATGTAATGAAAGGTGCTCATTTCTTAGAATGACTGCTGGTAATTTGTGCCTGAAGGTGCTTTAGGGTTGGCAAGGATATTTCCATCCCCTCCAGCAATTTCTGGGGAACTTTCATTGGGGCACAAGGCACCCTCCATGGACTGTGACCACTGCTCGCCAGAAGTACCAAATCCAGGCATTTCCTCCTAAGATCCTCACAAAATTCCATCATTCCACAGTGCATTCAAACAATCAGAAATAAAATAATGAGCAAAGAAGCCCAGCCCTTTCCATTTCACATTACAGCAAAGTGTCAGGCACACATATTAGGATACAAAATTATGACAAAAAAGAGAATCAATGGATTTCTCTCAAACCAGAAATTTCTAGGTCTCCCACTTTTGACAGATGGACCAAGACACTGAAAAAAAAAAATAATTCCAAGACCTGAGAGGCAACAATTCTTCATTTGGCAAAAAGAAAAATCTGTTTGCAATTTTATTGTCACCTTGTGTCACCTCCAGATCTGGGAGATTTTCAAACATTTCCTCTGGTTTCAATCTGAAACTTCCTTTTTGTGGTTGATCACCACTGGCTTTGGGTTCATGTTGATTTGGACAGAGGGTTTTCAGCACTGATTCATATTAACATCACCACTGTTTTTAAAAATAAATTAGATTTCTAAGCAATTTGCTGAGACCAACAATAATAAAAGTGATCTGGGACCCGACTTTGGTTATTTGTGCTGGTGGGACAAGGGGAATGGCTTTAAACTGAAGGATGGCAGGGATGGATGGGATATTGGGAATTAGGAATTGTTCCTGTGAGGGTGGGAAGGGGCTGAGATGGAATTCCCAGAGCAGCTGGGGCTGCCCCTGGATCCCTGGCAGTGCCCAAGGCCAGGTTGGACACTGGGGTTGGAGCAGCCTGATGTGCATAGATCCATACAATCACAGAATCCCAGAATTGTTTGGGTTGGAAGGACCTCACAGCCCATCCAGTGCCACCCCTGCCATGGCAGGGACACCTCCCACTGTCCCAGGCTGCTCCAGCCCCAGTGTGGCCTTGGGCACTGCCAGGGATCCAGGGGCAGCCACAGCTTCACCTGTGCCAGGGCCTCCCCACCCTCACAAGGACGGATTTTTTCCCCAACATCCCACCTAAACTTGGAATTTTTCACTTTGAAGCCATTCCCTGTGCCCTGTCCCTCCATGCCCTGGAAATTGTCTCTCTCCAGCTTTCCTGGGGCTCCTCCAGGCCCTGCAAGGCCACCCTGAGCTCAGCCCAAAGCTTCTCCTGTGCAGGGGAACAATCCCAGCTGTGCCAGCCTTTCCTCCCAGCAGAGCTGCTCCATCCCTCTGCTCATCCTGGAGCCTCCTCTGGGCTCTCTGCAGCAGCTCCAGCTCCTCCAGGGCTGGACACCAGTGGAAGGTCCCCTCCAGCCCCAGTTCTGTGATCAATGACTCTGCAAATATCTCAGAGACACCCTGAGGTGCAGGAAATGGACACAAACTGCACAAAGGCTTCTTAGAGAAGATGGAGACAAACTGTTGGTGGTCCATTATGGATTTCTGGGATGCTTTTTCCAGCCCAGTGTAGGTGGTCAAAACGTTGGGCTTTTCCTGTGTTTCCATTCTACGAGATGCTGCCAAGTGATTGGATATCAGACTGAGGAGGGCTTTGGACAGCCATGAATGCTGGAGCACAGTTCCAAGGGAGGAAATGGGCTCTGGGTCATTAGGGGGTGGTTGCCATCTACTGATAAGTTCATTCACTTGCCAGGTTTTGGTGTGGTGGGAATACTCCTGTGTAGGGTCGTTCTTACTGCAGCAGTCCCCAGCCAGGCAGAGTATGTGACAGCAGTGGAACAGTTTATAGAGTCCTGGCAAAAATACCTGGAAGTGCTTGGATGTAAAATAAGAGGGAAGTGGTTTCTTTCACAGAGCTGTGAACCAGTGGATCTTAGTCCATGTTAAACTGACAACAGTGTCTGCCTTCCCTTCCCTTCCCTTCCCTTCCCTTCCCTTCCTTCCCCTTCCCTTCCCTTCCCTTCCCTTCCCTTCCCCTCCCTTCCCTTCCCTTCCCCTTCCCTTCCCTTCCCCTTCCCTTCCCTTCCCTTCCTTCCCTTCCCTTCCCTTCCCTTCCCTTCCCTTCCCTTCCCTTCCCTTCCCTTCCCTTCCCTTCCCTTCCCCTTTTCCCTCCCCTTTTCCTTCTTTTTTTCCTTCCTTCTTTGATGTACTAAAAGACATTATCCCTCCCTTGCATGCCTTGCTTTGCCATGTAACATGAATGCTCTTTTTCAATTGTTTTCTCAAAAATTACAAATGCAGCTTGGTCCCCAAAACACTTTTATCTACATTTTCTATTCTTATCACTAAAGGGGCACCTGGATGTGTTGATTCCCAACTTCATTCAGATCATCCTTTCCAAATCTTCAGCCCATGGCATCAGAAATCATGTTTAAACCCTTCACTGAGAATCCTGACAGTTCTTCAGACAGTTTCCCATAAACTCAAACATCTGAATGGGTTTAAAATGCTTTATAGACAAGAAAGGCAGGACAGACCCAACCTCCCTCCTTTTTCCTGGGGCAAAAGGTGGTTAATTTTATTTTCTGCTTTAAGCAGGAGGAAAATGCATTAATTTCATTAGCTCACACTTCAAAGATGTTTGGTAAGCAAACTGTTGGAAAGTGGAGTGAATCAATGCAGAGATTTGACCTGTTGAGAGCACATGTACAGACTTCATATAGATGTGTGGATATTTAAAATGCTGGAATTCCAGCTCCATTGACTCCCCTGAGGTCACAATTTCACCCATAAGCTCATTATTACTGTCAATACTCCCAAATCTATTAGAGAGCTTTTAACTAAAAGGCCTCCAGAGCAAAGAGAATCAAAGTCAGGGGGATTTTGCCCCCTCAGAGGGATGGGATGGCAAGGAAAGGCTTTTGTTGGCCATTTCACAAAGTGTTTGGTATTGAGCAGAGCAGCTGCAACCCGTGGGATGTGTGAGGGAGTTCTCCCTTCCACTGGAGTCAAGGACAAGCAATTTTATTTTTAAAATGTCATAATCACTGGTATTGATCACCAGGGGTGCTCTCAAATCCATCCAGGCTGGTGCTATCACCACTAATGCTATCCCTGGCAATTCCAGCCCAATTAGGCTGCCTTGCTAATGAACCTCAGCTGCTTTTCATGGCCCTGTGTGGGAGAAAAGGGCTGATGGACAGAGCAATCCCAGCCTTCCACCCTGCCCTGAGCTGCCTCTTTGTTTCTTTTGGTCACGTTTTATCATTCCATGGAAAACACAGAGAGCGAAGTTCAGAAGCATCAATAAGCCTTGAAAATCAGAGGTAGGACTGAAGTGCTTGGGAAAGGTTGTGGCTGCCCCTGGATCCCTGGCAGTGCCCAAGGCCAGGATGGATTTGGGGCTTGGAGCAGCCTGGGACAGTGGAAGTGTCCCTGCCATGACAGGGCTGGATGATCTTGAACGTCTGTTCCAACCTGGATGATTCTGTGAAACACATGGTAAAGATCAGATAAAATAAACCCAGATTTGGGTTGCATCATGTTTGCAAAGCCAGATCATTTTAAGCCCACTCACTCTTGAAAGGAAGTTGAGGTTGAAGAATCTATAAAATTGGCCTGAGCACCCTTTCCATGGGGAAATTTTCCCAATATCCAGCCTAAACCTCCCCTGGCCCAGCCTGAGGCCGTTCCCACTCCTCCTGTCCCTGTGCCCTGCAGCAGAGCCACAAGGTCCCCCCTGAGCCTCCTTTTCTCCAGGCTCAGCCCCTTCCCAGCTCCCTCAGGAATTCTCCAGCCCCTTCCCAGCTCCCTCAGGAATTCTCCAGCCCCTTCCCAGCTCCCTCAGCTGCTCCTCACAGGATTGACTCTCCAGAACCTTCACCACCCTCACCAGGAAAGATCCATGTCTGGAACAGAGACTGAATCTCCATCCCAGTTCCAGGTTATCTCCAGCAGCTCCATCTCCCCTGCCCAAAGGAAAAGCTCATTTCAGTAGAGAAATCATTTCAGGATGAGCTGAATTATCTGAATCTGATTCCAGCTTCACTCCAAGGGAGCCAACTCCCACTCATGTTGCACCTGAAAGCCTCTGGAAAAAGCCACCTCCAGCTCCCTGTGGGTTAATCACAGAATCCCAAAGGATGCAGCCAATAGTTCCTTCCCTATTAAAACACGGTCTGAATTGGGTATTAACTACCTGCTGTGTTTGGCAGCTCTCTTATTCCTAAAATAAATAACTGTATGAAAAGTCATAAACTCTATATTGGACTTTTTCATAAAAAAAAAAAAAAAAAGCCAGAAAAAAAAATCAAAGTACTGTCAGGATTTTAGCAGCCTCACTTCTTGCAGTAAATCTGCTTCCACAGCTGTTCCTGCTGTACTGTGTCCTTCAGCCAAGAGTAGCTGCAGTCCAACGTTTCCTTCTTAAGTTATTCCTTACCCAGAGCAAAGCCAAGGGAATTTTGGACAGGGCTCGCTTGCTCAAAATTATGAATGTGCTCTTATTAGAGCAGGTTGCATGTTTTATATTAAATATTCATTCAAATAACAATCCAGCAAAATGTTTGTCGGGATAAGAGTTACTTTGGCTGAAAAGACACATTTTTCTTCCAGTCTCCACCAAAACTTGCCCATATTTATCATGTCCAAGATCTAAGGAGATCTTGCTTGAACTTGGTTGAGCTCCTTCAGCAGTGCCAGATCCTGTTCTCCTGTTTCAGAGCTGCACCAGTTCAGGAATTGCTTGGTTGTCACTGGGGAAAAGTTTTTTACAGGTTCCACTGCAGCTCATAAAAGGGAAAAAAAGAGGAGGGAAAAAAAAGAGGAAAGTGGCATTTTCTCCTCCTGCCTCTTAAAAACCTGCCCATGTTGAGCTGAGAGCCATGGAGTTTCTCATAATAGTTTGATTTAATGGAATCTTGGAATGGTTTGGGTGGGAAGGGACCTCAAAGCTCACCCAGTGCCACCCCTGCCATGGCAGGGACACCTCCCACTGTGCCAGGCTGCTCCAGCCCCAGTGTCCAACCTTGGCTGGGGATGGGAAATCCAAAACCTCCCTGGGCAACTTGTGCTTCACCACCCTCATAATAAAGAATTTCCTCCCAAAATCCCATCCATCCTGCCTCCCTCAGCCTAAGGCCATTCCTCCTTTTCCCATCACTCCATCCCTTGGGAAATGTCCCTGTCCAAGTGATGAAAGAGAAGTTTCCTCAAAACCCCAGAGAGCTCCAGAACTCCGCTCCTCGTTGTGAGCCCAAGCCCAGCTCCAGGAGCTGCTTCCATCAAAGCTAAAGATTAGCAATGTTGCCATCATGTGGCTGCTCCCAGCAAAGGCTCAGCCATGAGCCCGAATTTATTCATCAAAAAGCAATTTCCACCTGGATCCTGCTGGTAAAACCCAATGTTGGAAGTTGTTACTATTGCAGGATATAATTAGAGTAATTATTTTTATGGCAAGAACGTGTGTGCAGTGGATGAGGTGAAACCACACCTCTGACTCTGCTCCTTACCCTCAGGGATTTAGAGATCACATTGAAAACCTCACTCCAAAATTCATCTTGAGTTATCCAAGCAGAAATTCTAGAAGTGAAAATCCCCTCTTCCTGCAGAAACGAGAAGGAAAAAAAAAAAGGACAAGGAATCAGTTTCAATAATCTTCATATTTGACATGGCTTGAAAGTGAAAT